ATATATATATATAATTTACCTATCAAGGTTTTTAAAATAAAAAAGAATATTGTACACAATATTCATAGCAATATTATTCACAATAGCCAAGAGATAGAAAAATGAATAGATCAACAAAACACGCTATGTGTGTACAACGGGATATCGTCCAACCTTTAAAAGGAAGGAAATGAGGATATATGATTCAACATGGATAAAGCTTGAGAGTATTATGCTGATTAAATGTTCAAGAAACACCATTTCCCAGAATGTTAATTAGTATTTTCTTTTTTTTTAAATGGAAGTCAAATACATTTGGGAAACACTGGAATGAACAAAGTGAGCTATCTTAAAGTTGACTGAACATGGTGTTGCATGCCTGTAATTCCAGCACCTAGGAAGCTGAGGCAGGGGGGTCAAAAGTATGAAGCCAGCCAGGGCTACATAGCAAGTTCAGGCCAGTATGGACTACACAGAGAGACTGTCTGCAAAACAAAACGACCATGACAAAACAGAAACAAGACATCTTGAAGCTGATACTCTTTTCTAAATATATATTTAATTTCCCTATAAAAAGTTTTAAATGAAGAAAAGAATGAGTGCACATATCTGTAAATGAAATACAAAGGTATTTCTTTGTAAGGGATCTCGTCTCCTCCAACAAATAGTGGATAGTTCAGTATGGAGCCTGCTGACATGCTTGAACCAGAGCAGCATGACAGGGACCATGAGGCTGGGGTCAGGAGAGGGAATGCTGATGCCTTGTTTGATTAATGGCTACTTGGCTTTGAGCCCCACGGTTGGGTGGACCCTGAGGCCTAGGACCCAGAATGGAGGCACAAAGACACCAGAGTGAAATGGAGGCCTTTGTCAGAGACTCATCCTCCTGGGATGCAAGTGGCAGCACTCAAAGGCCGCCCCTGAAGGCTTCCCCACAGCTGGGTGGCCGTGGCTGCCCACATGACAGTTCAAACACAGGACTGCAAAGCCTCTGCCTAGCACTGCCTCCTGCCCAGCCCCACTTTTCCATTACTATTGTCAGGCTTTGGCTTTTGCTGTTATTTCCCCCTCTACCTTTTCACTTAACCAGATCCTCTGTGTTTCTTAAAGCCATGTAGGTAAGGGTTGGAAACTGTACTTAAATCAGAAGTGGATTTGAATTCTGGCACAGGGGCATTCTCTCTGGACAAGCATGTCCCCTGGAAATGGAGTTACTGTGTGTCATTCTGGCTTTAGTTCAGTTAAGTGTGAGAGAAAATGCAACATTTTCTTCCTGGATTATAGAAGAACTTTTCTCTCTCAAAAGGACTCACACAGACCAGAGTGGGCAGAGAACTCAACATGATCAGAGAGATCAGACCAAGCCTTTTTTATTTTGCTGTTTGTGGCTTCCACCTGCCACAATGGCTGCTTGGCCTCCTGCCATGATCTGTATAGGCCTAATCATAATTTAACATGAAATGATTTTTCCCCAGCCAGAGAGGAAGGGGGCATAAGGAAAGGCCTGCCTGCCCGTTTTTGTTTGTTTTTGAGACAGGGTCTCTCTTTGTAGTTCAGGCTGGCCCTGAACTCACTATGTAGCCCAGGCCAGCCTTGAACGCCACGTAATTCTCCTGCCTCTGCCTCCTGAGTGAGTGCTGGGATCATAGGCATGCACCCTGCCCACCTGCCCTTAAATTAGAGGGCATTTCTTGGAAGTTTCACATGGTTCTGCCTAATCTCTTTGGCCAGAACTTAATTTTGTGGCCATAACTAGCATGAAGAGAATCTGGGAAGTGAAATCTTTATTGCAGGTAGCCCTATGTCCAGTGGAAACTGGCGTGCTTCTTTCTGGAGGGAGAACACATTTTAATCTCATTTCATGAATGGTAACCCCTTTGTAAGATTATCTGGAGGATTACACGAGCCATTGATCTGGTGCCTAGGCTATAATAAGAGCAATAATTGCATCTACTATTATGACTAAATACAGCTCAGCTCATGCCATCTCCTAAGAGCCTTTTTATGTTGTTCCAGGGATTGAACTTGCACTTGTGAGGTAGGCAGCAGAACCACTGAGCTAAATTCCCCATCCCTAAGAGCCTTTATCTCTTTGTTTCAAGTATTCTTTCCTTTCTTGGAATTCCAGAGTTTTTTTATTCTGATTTTGCTGCTCCCTCCCCCATGGCAGGGATTGAATCCAGAGCCTCACAAATGCTAGGAAAGCATTTTACTACTCAGCTACAACTCCAACCTTCTTTTCCTTCCCTCCCTTCTTCCTTTCTTTCTTCTTTTTTTGTGATACTGGATATTGAACCCAGGGCATTTGCACTGAGCTACATCCCCAACTTTTTATTTTTCTTTTCAAGATAGGGTCTCACTAAGTTGTCCAGGCTGGGCTCAAACTTGGAATCCTCCTGCCTCAGCCTCTCAGAGTGCTAGGACTATGGGCATGAACCACCATGCCTATCTTTGTTTTTTATTTTGAGTCAGGGTCTTGCTGAATTGCCTAGCCTGACCTTGAATTTATGACCCCTCTGTCTCGGCCTCCCAAACAGATAGGGTCACACCCACATCCAGTTGGCACTTGCTACATTCTATCTTCTATTTGTATATGTCTTATGCTTTTTCAGTTAGATGCTGCCTGCTATAAAAAAGTTCATCTCAGATTCGAAGGATTACTGTCACATGACTGACAAAAGTGACAGTACAGGCTTCAGGTGTAGTTGATCAGGACCATATTTCCCTTTCTCTAATTCTCTCAGTTCTGCCTTCCCCACATTAGTTTTCTTTTAAGGTTGCAGAAGAATGCAAGCAGCCCAGGAAATTACTTATTTCCTTGCTTATATTAAACACATTTAGACACGGAGTTTGTAACTTTAATTGAACTGTAGGAAACTGAGAAAGGAGACATTACCAGAACCCCTGCAGTGAGTTCTGATGTCCTGTGAGCCACAACAGTACAAGGTGAATTAATGACTAGACAGGAAATAAGACTGGTAGAAGCTGGGCCTGATCAGTGCTGCTCTGGGCAGCAAAGACAAAGGCACCCCAAGCTTGCCACAGCTTTATTCATCACATTGGGAGTAACAGATGACTCAGAGGGCAATGATAATCCTAAAACAATGAGGAATATATGCTGATAAAGACCTAGGTCGTGGAGGAACTTACATTGATTAGGAATTTGTCTAGGAGCTTCCTGGTTCCTACGGTGCTGTGCAGTCTGTGGATCCCGATGATTTTCTTTTCCTATCCTCTATCCTTTCCCCAGTTGAAACCTTTCTCAAGGAACCAGGATGTCTTTAGCTGATGCAATCCTGTCCTGCAGTGTCACAGGTTCATGGGACCACTGAAGTTTTAGCTGTGACTAGAGGCAAAAATGGAGTTATGTGTCTACATGCCATTGCCAGCCTGAGGCAGGAAAACTAGGCCTAATCATAATTTAAAGTGAAATTATTTTTCCCCAAAATTATGTAGAATTGCTCCTGACATTGGATCATCCCTAAACTAGTAATAGCAGGCAGGAGAAAGTCATACAGTGGCTTGGACTTGCCCATCTGATGTAACAAGAACCAGGAGATGACCTGTTTTGAAGCTGATGGCAGGATCAGTCCCACTTGGACTCTGCTGTTTGGATGGTTTTCCAAAGCAAAATCAGAGGAATGAATGCTAGATGGGCAACCCAATGCAAGCCTGCCATACAAGTCAGCTGGAGCCTGAACCCTCAGGCTGAGATGGTCTTTTTGTTCTCAGCACCTAGGACCGTGTGTTGTCACCTATTTGCTAAATTCATAGGTGAGTAAGCTTGACAGTATAGATGGCTGGAGGAGGAAGCATTCTCCAGTATACTCTGCCAGCTGGTTAACTGAGTAACTAGTAGCAGATCCTTTCCCTGTGTTGGTGGCATAAAGATTTAGGGGGAAAGGGGTAGGAGGAAAGTGAGGTATCATTCTAGAAGGGACCAAGGAGGGATGGCTGGGCCCAGTGGACCCACTCCCAAATGCACACAGAAGCTGAACCTCCAGGAAGATTCAGGAAGTCAGGCCTCCCACTCCCAGTCCCACCCTCAGTCCTGTGGTCTGCTGGTATTTTTGTTGTTGTTTTGAACATTATGAATGTGAATATAATGGAGCCTTGTTTCCAACCATGTCATGATTTCCAGCTGCCCTTTTCACTTCCATTCACAGAAAAGGTTTCATTTCACTCCAGGGCTGGGAGTTCCCTGGGGTTTCTGATTTTTATTTCTGCCGCTCTCAAGCTGCCTCCAAGAGCACACACTGCCAAGCTTTGGAGAGAAACCTGCTCCATTGCTGGGTCAGCCCACTTCTGATTCCTAGCTACCTGGATATCTAGGTCTACAGGTTCTCTCTTTTTTTTTTTTTTGGTACCTGGGATTGAACTCGAGTCCTTGCACTTGCAAGGTAGGCCACCAAACACCTGAGCTAAATCCCCGGCCCTACAGGTTCTCTTTGTAAGGGAAGTGTGCATTAAAATGCCAAGCTAATTTCATTTTCTGAACCAAATTCTGCCTTCTTGGAAACACTCACCCCCACATCTAGACAATTTGTCAAGAAGTTTGACCGATCACAATTGCAGCCATCCACTACATCCTCTCCTGAGAGACTGAGGCAAAGCTCTTCTGGGGCTAGACAGTGGGACAGCCTCTACCCTTCTTCACTTGAGGAAGACTTGACCGTTATTTATAATGCCTCGGCCATCCCCACCAAGATAACAACTGTTATCTTAGGTCACCACTCACCACCTAACCTGAAAGTTTATTATTCTCCTAAATGGTGTCTCAAGTCTTAAATGCTACCGAAGTGCCCTCCTCTAACTCTCCTCCTGTGCAACTGAACCTTCTGGAATGTGGCAGGAGGCAGAAACCCTTAAGTACCATTGTCCAGGGCTCTGCCTCTTCCTCCAGCTCCTCAGGCGCCTGCTTCACAACCCTCTGTAAGACTGTGTCTCCAGAGTTTCTTGAGCTCTGAGCCTGAATCTACATTTACAAGGCCGCATCCTGTATAATGTCCCTGTGCTTCAGACCTTTCCTTCTCCATCCCCTGGGTCTCCAGCTCCTGCAGTACATAGTCGCCCAGAGCCAGTCCTCCGGAAATCCATCACCTGAGTCTCAGATCCAGCCCCCAATGCTCCTCGTCTGGATCCTGTCCCGAGGCGAGACAAGGCTGCACGCGGACCTTCGCGACTCTCACGCTGGGCCACCATTGCCATGCAGTCCGCGTCCGCGTCGGAGCCCTGGGCGTCAGTGGGCCTGGCCTCACACTGTGAGCTTGGGCACAGCACCCTTCCACCTCGTCCCATTGCGGTAGGCTCCTCGGTCCCTGACATGGGTCCTCCATCCTGCGCACAATGGAATGACTAGGAGGATGTGTCCACCTCCATCCTGCGCACCTGTCCTGCCACCGCCACCCCCCACCGCCCCAGTACGTGCTGCCTTGGCTACCGTAGGGTGTTCCACACTGTCGCCTGCCCCAAATTTAGTTCTTTATCGGGAGCCTCCTCTGGGTTTCGCAGTACCTGTGTCCTTGCACCCCATCCCGCGTAGCGGGCCGGACACCTGTGATCGCTCTTGAGGCACAACCTCCCTTCTCAGCCCCCGCGCGCCCCAGTACCTGTTTTAGTTCTTTATCGGGAGCCTCCTCTGGGTTTCGCAGTACCTGTGTCCTTGCACCCCATCCCGCGTAGCGGGCCGGACACCTGTGATCGCTCTTGAGGCACACCCTCCCTTCTCAGCCCCCGCGCGCCTTCCAGTACCTGGGCGGGATTTCGCGCTCCGGCCCCTCCCGCCCCGCCGGCTCAGACGTTTCCACTGCTGCTGCGCACTTGACGCAATGGCGCCCCGGGGCGCGACTGTGGGCCCCCAGCGCTCTGGGCACAGCCGGGAAGGAACCCAGGAAACTCTCTTGCTCAGTTGTCCTAGGAGCTTCCTCGTTCCGACGGTGCCCAGTCTGGTGGATCCCTACGGTTTTCTTTTTCTACCTTCAGCTTAACCGCATGCTCAGAAACGCAGAGCGCACGCCCAGTGGGACGAAGCACCCGGAGAAGTCGAAGTCTCCTTGCAAACTGCCCGCCGCAAGGCTGAGCCTCGGTGGCTGAGGTCCCAGGCGCTGTGTAGAGTAGAAAAAACAAAACCAACCAACCAAACAAACAAAAAAAAAACCCTCGTTGCTTCTTCCACCGACATTTCCATGACAAATAGGCGAGAATTTCGCCTTACAGATGTCTGGGGGTATTTGTGTGGGCTCGGCTGAGAGTTTGTTCCAAGACAATAAAAGCGGTCGTTCGAGTCTTCGGCCCCGGGGCGAACAGGCCTGACAGAAGTGAAACCCGGTGAGTCAGCGCGCCCCGAGCGAGCGGCCCGCG